CCCTTATACTTGAACGGATTCCTAAGTATTTTTGGTAGCTCGACTATCATCGAGCGAGAAAATTGAAAACGACGCTCATGCACAAATTTATTACAACTTTTAAAACAGTGGTTATCCCTATAATCAGTTCCCAGCAGCCAAAGAGGAATTCAAATGCAGAGACAGAAAGGGAGCAACAGTTCAAGTTGCCACTTAAAACTACAAAAACTCATCTTCTCTACAACAACATATTTCTCTGTTAACATTGCAATTTAAGCATTCAATTGAGATGGGAGGCGAAAAGAATGTAATCGAATAATCCATACCAATCACCTACACGGCAACGGGTACGGCCTCGTCAAGAGCAAGGACGCCGGGAAGTTCTTTGCCTTCCAACAACTCCAAACTAGCACCGCCTCCAGTCGAAATGTGGCTCATGACGCTCGCAACTCCTACCTTCTCCACAGCTGCAACCGAGTCTCCACCGCCAATGATGGTCGTCACCCCCTTTCCACTGAGCTCCGCGAGTTTCTTAGCAATCGCCTGCAACCAAGTGCATTTGTCGAATTGATACAGACCACATAAACATGACTGCTATATGTATGGTGCACACGTTTAACTACATCGGTTTTTATGTTTCTATCATGACATACTTTGATGAACCAAACAAATCGAGCACCTTGGAGTACCACTGGTATTCAAGATCTCGAAGAGTTTCAGCATTATAACAAATATATAATGGTTGGTATTGTTGGGAGGAGTCCCGGGATGATCGTGGGGTTTATAAGTAAGGAACACTATCTCTATTGGTACGAGGCATTTTGGGGAAAGCAAAAGCAAAACCACGAGAGTTTACGCTCAAAGTGGACAATATCATACCATTGTGGAGATTCGTGATTTCTAACAGGTGTATCGTTTCCCAAGTATGAAAACGAATGTAAAGTGAAATTTTATGGCCATGGAGAAGTTTTTTTCTTACCTCCGTTCCGACTGCAAACTTGTCGAACTCGAACACTCCCATCGGTCCATTCCAGATGATAGTTTGGGTAGTGTCCAAAGCATCGTTGAATGTCTTTACAGAATCTGGTCCAATGTCGAGTCCCATCCATCCATCAGGGATGGCAGATGCAGGGACGATCTGCAATGCAAAAAGTACGTTCTTTATTTCTCCGATCCGTAACGCATTCGTAAAGTTTCTAAAAAAAGTGTGAAATCATCGAAAAACTGGTAATTCCGTTAAAGCAATGATTTGAATCAATCAACAAAAGTTCAGAAACTTGTGTTTCTATAGCACTGCGGGTCTGAGAAATAGATCTAAGAGCCAAGATTTACAAACAAACCTTGCTGTTTGCATCGGGAGCAAACTTGTCTGCAATGACGACATCGGTTGGTAGTAGAAGCGATACTCCTTTCGCCTTGGCCTTCGCGAGGAGCGTGGTTGCTAGATCTAGCTTATCCTCTTCGACCAGAGACGAGCCAACGGAAAGTCCCTGTGCCTTGTAAAATGTAAAGATCATTCCACCACCAAGAAGTAGGATGTCACACTTTTCTAGAAGTGACTCGATCACTCCGATCTTCGACGAGACCTTTGAGCCACCAACAATAGCAGCAAATGGTCTCTTTGGGCTTGACACGGCCCCCACTAGATAGTCGAGTTCCTAAAGCAATTACTTGCAGAGTTAAAGATCATTCGACATCGGAAAAGAATAACATGATGAACATCAGGCCAATCATTATTTGGGATAAAGAACTGAAGTTTGGAGGCTATGAACAAATGAAGCCAGTTACCAGTTATAGTTCAAGAACGTTGAAAACGAAAAACGAAAAACGAATAATGTGTAGTAATAAAAAACATTTTCGCACCTAACAAGTAGATATAAGGTTGAGCAAAGAATCCAACCTTTTGCAAGAGGAAACCAGCCACGGATGGCTTCAAAAACTTGGTGACTCCCTCAGTTGAAGCATGAGCTCTGTGGGCAGTTCCAAATGCATCGTTAACATAAAGATCAGCTAGAGAAGCCAGCTTCTTTGCAAACTCTGGCTCATTTTTCTCTTCCTCCTTGTAGAATCTAACATTTTCGAGGAGAAGAACTCCGCCCTCGGGCAGGGAAGCGACCAATTTTTCGACCTCGGGACCAATGCAGTCATCAGCCTTCACAACCTGATGGGATATGACACACCGAAACGTTCAGAGATCACCTGGAGGCAATAATTGAAAACAAAATACAGGAGAGAAACCCTTCTTTAAGATCATGAGGAAGAAAAAGGTACCTCAATGCCAAGGAGTTCAGACAGCCTAGGCACAAGAGGTGCCAAGCTGTATTTTGGAGTCACACCTTTTGGTCGTCCCTGAAAATTTCCACAGTTAACGACATATTCACAAGATTCTGCAGCATAAACAGTAGACTTCAAACACGAAGGAACAATTTGAACTCAGTTGTAACAGTCCAAACTCACCGCTAGCAAATATTGTCATCTTTGAGCTTTCCCTTTTGGGCTTCCCCTCAAGGTTTTTAAAATGCGTCTGCTACGGAGAGGTTTCCACACCCTTATAAAGGGTGTTTCGTTCTCCTCTCCAACCAATGTGGGGATCTCACAATCCACCCCCTTCAGGGCCCAACTACCCTTATAAAGGGTGTTTCATTCTCCTCCCCAACCGATTGGGATCTCACAATCCACCCCCTTCAGGGTCCAGCATCCTTGCTAGCACACCGCCTCATGTCCATCCCCTTTGGAGCTCAGCCTCCTTGCTGACACATCGCCCGGTGTTTGGCTCTGTTTCCATTTATTACAGCTCAAGCCCACCGCTAGCCGATATTGTCCTATTTGGACTTTCCCTCAAGGTTTTTAAAACGCATCCGCTAGAGAGAGGTTTCTACACTCTTATGAAGAGTGTTTTGTTCTCCTCCGACGTGGCTCACAATTCTCAAGTTTCCAAGGATGGCTAATCAAGAACACATTTAACATCCCTTAACCTCTTCACTACAAATTCTATTAATCAAGAGAATGTCACTTGGAAATCAACGAAATCACCAACCCATCAATCACCTCAAACAGCTCAATATCTACCATCTTCCAGATTCATGAATCAATTAAAAGATACAGCAAAAGTAAAAGCATAATTTAGAAGTTCCAAAAGCACACTCACCAGATGGCTGGATAAAAGCACTTTAGCTCCATTATCAGTCAAATACTTGATCGTAGGGATAGCAGCTCTGATCCTAGTATCATCAGTAATATTCTGATTATCATCCAAAGGCACATTCAAATCAGCCCTCACGAACACTTTCTTCCCCTTCAAGTCAGCCGCAGTCAAATCGCCAACACTCTTCTTAGCCATGGACACCACACCCCTCGAGGCCTTGCCCCTAAACGACCGAATCTTGGAAGCCACATGGAGGGAGAAAAGTGGGTCTGCGGCAGCGAAACCTAAGCGCTGAGTTGCAGCGGCGCGAAGGCGAATTGAGTTAGAGGAAGCGGCGGTGGGCGAAAATTGAAGAAGGGCAGAGCGGGTTGAAGAAGTGTAAGAGGATTTTGTGGGAAGAAGATGGAAAGTGGTGCGGGAAGCTGCAGAAGCCATTGATGAAGCAGAGAAGAAACGGAGAACAGGGCGATTTGGCGATCTGGGGGCGTCTTTTATGACGATGAAATGGGAGGACGACGATGATTTGTGGAGGGAGAGAGAGATTGAATGGGAGATATGAACAAGAAGAACAGTGAAAACGAATGGGCTATAATCAATTTGTGGCTTCGATCACTCAATACTCTTATCATTCGGATGAGGTTAACGATCCATGGCACGAACTAGGTTCATGTGTTCAAAAAATTTGACCACTCCAATTTTTCGAGCAACTATAATATCATCATATGATTTAAATAATTTTGAGGCCAATATTGAGTCATAAGTTATAATTCCATTGTTTATGTTGATAGCAACTAGCACCAATTTAGCTCGAGATTTAATGGGTTAACTTTAGAGTATGAATAATCATTAAAATGTTGGATGAAAAGTCGATGCATTTGAATATGATTCTGTCAGACTTAATCCATGCAAACATTCTAGCTGTCTTAATCAACTTTTTATCGATTTTTCATCTAATACTGTAATTAAGTTATTGGAGTAAAAAAGATTGAGATATTCTTATGGAAAGTTTGAGTTGATGTTCAAAAAACTCGATAATTCAAAACTTTTTATTAACCTAACCCAATAAGTGCGGTTTTGGTTGGGTTAAATGAAAATTTTATGAATGGAGTGTTCACCCGTTTCCCTAATTTTGATCGTTGAACTAAAATTTTAATGTTATTAAAACCAAAAGTTTGAATAAATGACACGGACAACCCGAACGAATCAAATCCAATAAATTTATAGTTTGGTTCATTATTTAATAAGAGTTGTTTGGGCTAAATAAATTTATATATCGAAGAATTGAATTGGGTCAAGGTCTCAACCTGACCCAACCTAACCCACAAACACCCCCTACCTTACGACGTTACATATTGCTAATTCTCACAAAATGAACCGATGGATCTCGTCGGGTCCCATGACTAAACTTCTACAAATGACGCCACAAAAGATCAATACAATTGTTTCTCTTATCAACGACTACAACGACTTTAACTTTAAAAGTTCTATATGCTTATGAGGACGTAGTTGTATAATAATGTATTTGATTAACACTAACTATTGACACGTGCAAGAGATTTGGCGTTAAGGAGGGCGTCGTTAAGCTACTATATTCAAAATCTAACTTTATTTTCATATTTCCAATTAAAATTTTAAATATTTTTCAATTAAAACAAAATCAATAATTTTCATTTTTTAATAAATAAGAAAAACATTGTTTTTGTTTAATTAATAATATTAAAAGAAATATATGTACACTCTTCGCGGATCGTCATTCGGGCCCAACATGGGCCTGATTATAAGAAACCGTCAGGAGGCTGGCCCAATTTAACCGGCCCATTAAGGCACTGAATCCAAATCCAAATCCAACCCAGATAATCCAGACGCATATCGGCGGGTCCGGTCGATTTACTGGAATTACAATCGGATTACGCAGCACAAAGCTATCCTGTCGGCAAAAAATCACTTGGAAACGACGGCGCAAACGGCAAGAGAACCATGAAAGTTCTGTAGCTTCTCCTCTTAATCGATTTTCAGGACTGAACAGTGAATAGATGGAGCTTTAGCTTCATCACTGTGCATTTTAGTTCATCGTATAAACCCCTCGCTTAAACCCTGAGGAACCTTTAAAAACCAATTCCATTTCAATTTTCAGCTTATCTTCCAATATCCGAACTCAATTTCTTCGAATATGGATGTTTCAACCCGTTTCAGACCGAACAAGCTTGTCTCTCCGTCGACTTCGTTCGTCCAAGGGTCTCGAAATGGCATTCTTTTCACTATACCAGCCTGGCGCCGGGCTAAGAACTCCCGCCAGAGGACGAAATTTCGAGTTCTAGGATCCGCTGATGGTAATGGAGCTGACGGGTCTCCTTGGGGAAGTTTCAGTAGGTCAGTTCGTCGCGGCTCCGAGAGGTTCTGGTTGAATTTTGGCGAGTCTTTGAGAAAGGAAACTGGGTTTGATTTGAAAAATACTGATGTGAAGTTGGCTGAGATTTTTGGGAAGGCTAATGAACGGCTAGATAATATAGGAGCTGAACTGGAGAGGTTTAAGACTGAAAAATGGCCGGAGTTTGTAAACTGGAACAGTTGGGAGCGTTGGAAGGTAATCTTTCAATTTAATCTAATCTTCTTTGTTTTAAAGAAACTCTTCGTGAAATATTATCTTGTGGGTCTGGTTCGTAATTCCTTAGGATGTCAGGGTGGATGATTGACTCATTCCATACAAGAAATAATCATAGGAAATTCTTTGATAACACGGATTCCTATTTCTCAAGGATATCCCATGATCGAGACAATTGGCTAAATCCTGTGAAACCATTTCATAGAAGTTCATTGATATCTTATTTCGATTCTTGAATAATCCACATCACTTCTACTGAATTACGTGGAAAAGGTCCGTATCAATAATTATGATTTTACGTATGGACAATTTCTCAATATCGTAATTGACTAAAAGAATAGTGCAAGAAGATACAGCTAAGTTCCGAGTTTGAAACTTCCTTATTGTTTGTGAAGAAAGCAGCTGTTCTTTCTTTTCCATTTGTACGGTGAACTATTAAGTTCCATTTTTTTTATTGTTTAAAGCAATTTTATCTGCTTAAACGATGTTATCTACGAACATTTTGCTATCGAATAGGTAATGAAGTTACAGCAATTGAAAGAGAACTTCACATTTTGATTATGGAAAATGCTCAGGCGATTGAAATTTAAAATTATTCGCTATAGATTTCCTCAATTTCTATGCATCTGCCATTTCTTTTGAATAAGCTAGACAATGCTGTTGTTTTCTTCTTCTATGATTTCAGGATGTCAAGAACTGGGAGCCAAAACGAGTTGGTGCCTTGTTTCTCTTTGCTTTTGTTATAATTAGTTATTGTCAAAGAATTCATATGGTAGTTCGAGCACCTTTTGTAGACCGTGAAAGAAAACAGCTAACGGAGGCTTATATGGAGGCATTGATTCCTGAGCCATCTCCTTCTAATATTAGAAAGTGAGTATCAGTTTATATTTTCCAACTGCCAAACCTTATATCAAGTAACAAACATACCTATACTTTCATGTGGCACATCAAATTCTGAATATTGTTGACTCTCTGCTGCCTATTTGTTATATAACAAAACCCAAAGTTGCACCCATATGCATGCAGAAGTGTATGAGCTTCACGGTTATCTGATGAAGACAGAATATTAGAACTGTAATTGGTGCTGCATGATTCATTTGTAATGAAGCCTAGGATTCATCAACGTGCATGTAAATACAAAATACATTAGATTATGCTAGTTAAAGGGTGAAAAAAGAAGTTAATTTAAAGATATTGTCTCTGGGTATATAGATCAATATCAGTATCGTAATGATTTCTTTGCCTTTTTTCATCCTCTTCTTCATCAAGGAGCTTGATTTCAAGCTTCAATAAATGAAGATATATATATATATATATATTTGAAATCTAGTGTATTATTATTTTTATTTTTATAGTTCATAAATGTATGAAATTTACAGAAAGGGTGGATAATCCATGATGATGACAAAAAGCATTCCCAATTGATTAATAGGGAAGCATAATTGTAGAAAGAAATGATTAGATTTTACATCAAGGTATAACATAATAATAAATAACAAGATGGAAGAACCCTAGGGGTGATCTTTTTCCAAGAAACTCTTTGGTTTCTTTACTTCCAAAAAACCCAAAGAAGGCTCGGGTGATGTGCATCCACAACAAAACCTTAGCATTCTTAAAGGGTGACCCAACAAAACAGTGTTGAGAAGGTCCTTCACATCTCTAGGAATAGCCAAATACCAACTGAATGAACTAAAAATACTGGTCCAAAACTTCCAAGCAAACGGATTGTTATGAAACTCTTGGGATTTGATCTAACAACCTTATTGAAGAACAAGACTTTTAGATCTAAATTATCCAAGAACCCCAAAAAATGATAAGGAATCAACCCAAAGGAAAGTTTTGGAATGGATTATCTTTATGATCAAGATCCAGAGTAAAGAAAATTCATTTCTAAATTCGTGATTCGAATCACTCCACAAGATAGCTTGATCAAGACTACTTGAATGACTCTAGCATGCAAATCTAAACACAAGAAATGCAAATGAACAAGGTCATGGCTTAAGAAGCATAATATGCTAACTTTCATTATAATATCCAAAATCTTCATACTTAAAGCAACAACATGAATGACTATTTATAATCTTGAAAATAAACCTTTTAGTACCCTATGGTTAATTGAAAGGTTGTAACTTCATGACCATCAATACCATAATGGTCACTGGCTAATTGTAACTTATAATCTTAAAGACAATTCTCTAAAACTTAAAAAATACAATAAAGCCTCCTTAAATCTAAACAACATATATGGATCTTGTCATTCACCATGAAATCTTTGTGGCATGATTAAGACACCTTATTTCATATCACAGACAATGTATGAATATGTGGTCTAGTATCATCCACCTTACCCAAAGAACTCCACCCTGGGGAAATGGCCAAAAAAGGCATACACCTTTGGAGGACATCTTTGGTGCTGATGGCTCTATGAGACATTTCCCATAGAAAAAATTTGATCTTATTTGGGTATAGCCAAAAATGTCCCCAAAAAGTTCATGGAGTCACCCGGATAATAGAGACTTGGTAGAGAAGTGGCCACTTGGATTAAGAAGTCATCTTCATGTGTCTTCTGTTTGTGAGAGAACAATCAGCGCAAGGTCAAGGCTAAGATTGGCCCACTCCAAAGCCTTTTCATCTTCAAATTCCTCCCAAGTCTAAGGGTTCCGAAAGCTGCTGTTGGTGTTTCAAACCTCTTTAATCACGACCTCTTTACAATGAGAAAGTCTGTAAAGGTGGGGTAACACAATGCCAAAGGGGGATTTTGAAATCTAATAGTAGTCAACCTAGCTTGAGACATTTTCACATTCTTTGTTCTGTAGCATAGGAAGAGTAAATTGACACAATACTTCTGTAATGTCAGTGAAATATTTCCTCTTCTAAATTTATTGGGAATCTTTCAGAAATTTACAGATTGAAGACGACCATCTTTGATTAGAAGTGCTGGAATTGATAGTGATTCATTTTGTTTGTTCTCAGCTAAATCCATTACCTTGCAAGTAACAATTGGCCTTTTTACTGAAATGTGCAGGTTTAAGAAAGGTTTATGGAGGAGAACTACGCCCAAAGGTCTGAAAATAAAGAAATTTATTGAAGGAACTGATGGGACCCTTGTTCAAGATTCTTCTTACGTTGGAGAAGATGCATGGGATGATGATTCGGAGCTTATACAAGATAATGTTAAGAAAGTTATTGACAGTGATGAAACATTTAAGGGTGATGAAAAGGAGAAGATAAAGGAACAGTTGGGGATATCAGGTAATGGTTTATCGATATCACTTGTTTTGGTTCGTAAACTTGTTTGAATCGATTTGTGATCTTCTAGAGGATGAGCAGCCGTAATGTACAGGTTGGTTGTCAAGCACTCTAGTAAAACACTGTAAATCTAGACCCTATCCCAGCTAAAAAGCTATACAAAATTAAGCTATATTTTATTTAAAAATCTATGTCTCATGATACACTCAATTTTTTTATTCTTAGAAGCCAAAAACTTCTATACTTAATTGAATTAGTGCAGGACAAGAAGATACTGGAACTTGGCGTGAAAGGCTACAGATGTGGAAGGAAATCATTAGGAAAGAGAAGTTAGCTGAGGCTATGGATTCTCTCCGTGCTAAATATGTTCTTGAATTTGACATGAAAGAGGTTGAAAAGAGTCTTCGTAAGGACGTGGTAGAAAAAAAAACAGATTCGCAAGGAACAAGGGCACTTTGGATATCTAAGAGATGGTGGCGTTATCGACCTAAACTTCCTTACACATACTTTCTTGACAAACTTGATTGCTCTGAGGTACAATTATATGTTTTCCTATCTTGGCGATCTGACTTATTGGTGTCTGACAACTTTTAAATGCATTTTTTTTTCTGGGTTCTTAGTGTTCAGTTGCTTTTATTTTTATTTTTATTTTTATTTTTATTTTTATGTAAGCATATAAAGAATATAAATTCTGATTAAAACGTTGCTGATTTATTAACATACTGCATTTCTCTTTCACAACAATTTATATGGAAGCAGAACAAGATTGAGCATCAGTAACCAATATATCAGTTGCATTTGCAACAGAATGAAGTCTTAATGTTAGTAATAGCACAAACGAGTTTATTCTATTGCTCTCAAACAAAAATTCTTTTTTGGGCTCTACACAAGGTTATTCTATTTAATCTTATATTTAGCTGGTTTACTCTGATGCCGTGGATTGTCTTGGAACAGGTTGCTGCTGTTGTCTTCACGGAGGACTTGAAAAGATTGTACGTGACAATGAAAGAAGGTTTTCCATTAGAATATACTGTAAGTTTATTGCTTGACCGCTATAGTTCCATGTGCTGTTTCCCCAAGTTTTAATTTTGTTTATTGTTCTTACTTTGGATAGGTTGATATTCCCCTTGATCCTCACTTGTTTGAGGCTATCACCAGTTCTGGAGCTGAAGTTGATCTCCTTCAGAAGCGTCAAATCCACTATTTTCTCAAAGTTCTGATTGCATTGCTGCCTGGAATACTGATCCTGTTGGTTATTAGAGAGTCTGTTTTGCTTCTAAGTATTACTTCTAAGCGTTTTCTTTATAAAAAATACAACCAAATTTTTGACTTGGCGCATGCAGAAAACTTTATCCTGGTAAAGTTTAGGTTGTTTTCTTTTTGTTTGCACTTCATGTATTCTTTGTTTTCCTTGTCTAATTTTTCAACCAAGGTAATTTTTACTTGGTCAGCCAGCTGAGAATGTTGGTGAAACAACATCAATTCTCAAGGAAGTAATTTTGGGTGGTGATGTTTGGGATCTTCTTGATGAGTTGATGATTTATATGCAAAATCCTATGCAGTACTATGAAAAAGGGGTGCAGTTTGTGCGGGTAAATCTTTCCATTTCCTTCTTCTTTTCCTTTTTCCATACAGGTGAAGCATGGGTTGTTCTGTTGCCCTGTTCTCTGAATCTGAAGAGATGACATTGACTTCTTAGTTTTTGGAAAAAAACAGGGTGTTCTCCTTTCTGGGCCGCCTGGTACTGGGAAGACACTTTTTGCAAGGACACTTGCCAAGAAAAGTGGGTTGCCGTTTGTGTTTGCATCAGGGGCAGAGTTCACAGATAGTGAAAAAAGTGGTGTAGCAAGGATCAATGAGATGTTTTCTATTGCAAGAAGAAATGTAAGTATGTTACTTGAAAACGTTTGTGTTTATTATATTATTATTTCATGATTCATGGTTGAGAAAATATTGGTTCCTTTTGAAAACTTCTCAATGGGCCTATTCCTTTCAAACTAATTTACTATCTCTCTCCCTCTGAACCAATTTACTTCAAATTTCTCTCTTTTTCTCCCTCTAACATGCAAGTCCTTTCATGAGTCGAATATGTATTCATGTTTAAAATAAAATGTCCCTTCCTTTTGAAGTGAATTACTAGAGCATTTTGAAATTTCAGTTAGATTTGATCCTTTTAGATTAGAGTTCTTTCTTCTAGAGACCTTTCTTGTAGATAATGGGATTGTTTTTATTGGGATGGTTCTTTTTTATGCCCTAATATTTCCTTTCATTTTAGGCTTGAATTCTCATTAAAAAAGAAAACCCTGAAGTATCTTGGGCCAACATTCAATGTGCAAGTTTATCTTATATCCAGTTTGGTTTTTTAACCTGCAGTTTCTAAGTGCATTCCTTAAATTAGGGCTTTATTTTCCTGTTTTTAACACTTCCTGCACTATGTTTTTTCTTTAACCTCTTGACAAGCGTCAAATAATGTTTTGTTCATTGACTAGGAAAAAATTGAGTTGATTGTAAATGCTGATGTTTTGAAAATTAGTTTGAGTGTGCTTGCAACAACCCTGTTAACAAAGAAATGTCTGAAGGTTCTTGAGTATGAAAAGTTAAGATTGTTATCTATAAAATGCTATTTGACATTTCTTTGTGATTTTCTGTATTGTAATAATAACCGTGGCTTATTTATGGAAGAAAATTGTTACTCTTTGCTGTCCTTTGCGCAGGCTCCATCTTTTGTTTTTGTGGATGAAATTGACGCTATTGCTGGAAGACATGCAAGGAATGATCCAAGAAGAAGGGGAACCTTTGAGGCTTTGATTTCGCAACTTGATGGCGAGTTAGTGTTTCAATTAAATGCTAGAATATGGATATATTTTCGGAGTACTTCTGAGGCTGTTTGATTTATCTTTCAATATATTCGAGGAATTTATCTTTCAGTTTTGCCAACTTAGGATTGCATAATAAAACGATGAGCATATAAGATGACCAAAATGGCTATGACTATGGTAGCATAAACGAGTGACCATAACACTAGCATAACACAACTAGTAAGTTAGGTGATTTCACTACCTTGCTAAGGTTTGGGTCTAGTTCAACCTACAATGGAAGGTGTTCTTGTATTTGTTTTTTGTTGTGTGCCAACTTGAGGAGAGCTCAAAGGGTCAAAACATTATAAGAAGTTTTCTATGGTGTACCGTGGCCTCTAGGTTGTTTTCCTTTTATGCTCTGAGTATTAAGTTCCGTATAGTTTAATCCAATTGATATCAGATGGGAATGGGAATTCAGTCATACGAACTAATATGGAAATCCTAGCTAGTTGAATCTAACAACCCTTGTAGCGCCAGAGATGCAAATCCTTAGTTCACAAATACAAAAACTCCCAAAATCAATTTGATTTTATGATTCTAACTCTTGAAATTTTGATTTAACAACCTTATTGAATAATAAGACTTTTAGGTCTAAATATCCAAGAACCTCAAAATAATAAGAAATCATTCAAAGGAAAGTAAGTTCAAATAATAAGAAATCACTCAAAGGAAAGTAAGTTCCGGAGTACCTTGTTGATTGAATATCTTAAGGCAAGAACACTTGTTTAAGATTCAAATCACTCCACAAACAAGATTGATCATGTCAAACTTGAATTATTCTAAACATACATCTAAACGACATAGAACTGCAAAGAAACTTAGCCCTTTGCTTTCAATCTCTTGACCTTCCATAAGGCATTTCAAGAGTTGTAACCTTCATACTTTAGGACCATAATTAGCCACCGGGTAAATGTAACCTTAAAGTAAATAAAAGCCTTAAAATACATTAAAAAAACACTATAACTCTAGATTATCATCCTTCTTTAATATGACATGAAATGTAATATCATGTGATGAGTTGAATAACATTTTCTTCACATTTTCCTTGAAGTTTATATTGAAGTTTATATTGGATGATTGATGCTGTGGTTCTTAGGGTTTGAAAGCATTTTTAACATTTCCTTCTTTCATTGATTAGTTTTACTATTGTCTGGTTATAATTAGGAAGGAAAAAACTGGTGTTGATCGGTTCTCACTTAGACAAGCTGTGATATTCATCTGTGCTACTAATAGGCCAGATGAGTTAGACCTTGAATTTGTTCGACCTGGACGCATTGATCGTCGTTTGTACATAGGGTTACCAGATGCAAAACAGAGAGTGAAAATATTTGGTGTGCACAGTGCTGGAAAGCCACTTGCAGAGGACATTGATTTTGGGAAGGTAAACTGTGTCTTCTTTTTACAGACTGCTTTGCATCCTCTTGACTTGTCTATCTATGTTTCCAATGCACTAAATGAGAAAATTTGTAGTCAATTTTTGTAGGTAAAATTTACGTGTAGTTCTGTAAAGATTCTCATTTCTTCCATTTGAATTATCATTTTTAGTTTAGTCCGTTCTATGTTCTTATTACATCTCCTGGAAAATTCAACATCGCCTCACTTGAAGTTTCTTTAAATATTTAACCTGTTTCTATAAGCTGAATAAGATTAGAATTCATCAAACTTTGAATTTTTGCACTATTTTGGAAAGGTGATGGAGAAGAAATAAAACAATTATTGAAGAGGAAATAAGAACATTAAGATATGATTTCGATACATCTTTTTTTAGAACATATTTTGTTAGCATTGTTACTAGACATTGAAAAGCATCTGTTTTTCAGGGGCTGTAAACTTTTATACTACTTTAAAGAGGGTGTCGTATACTTAAACTATTCAGACGTTCATGATTTTAGAAGGAAGAATAACAATGATCTTCAATCCGAGTAGTATTGTTCAGTTGATTTCTTTAGTTGCTTTTTTTGTGTCTCCATACTTCATGTTATTTTTCTCTTTAAGGTTCTAATTACTTTGGATTTTCACTTATCATCTCCACTGTCTTTTACTCAACAGCTTGTCTTCCGTACAGTTGGTTTTTCTGGAGCAGATATACAGAATCTTGTCAATGAGGCAGCAATAATGTCGGTACGCTATTAATTTTGTCTCTCGAATAACATCCTTTTTGAGCAGAAAGAAAGCTTCTCTGGTTTTGAAGCATATTTCTGTAATTGGATAACGCCAAATACCTGGAACGGTTCTTTCTTTATCCGATTAATACACCACACATCAAGAACAAAAGTTTGAGGGAAAACATAAATTACGAAGGATGAAATTAAGAATTTTTAGAATAGATGAACCACGTACGTCATAATTCTTTTGACAAGCATTTTTTTTTTTCTATTTTCTTATTTTAAAAAAAAAAGATCTTATATTTAGAGAGAGAGATAAAACAGCCTCGGTCGGGTTCCCACAAACGACTAATACAAAAATCCCTTCTAATCAATGTAAGAAAGAAAGTTTTGTCAAAAAAAAAAAAAAAAAAAAAAGAAAGAAAGAAANGAGCCATAGTTACCAAAAGGTTTGTAGAGTCTGCACCATAAAAAAGGTGAAAAATGCAGCATCAATATTATGAAGACGTACAAATCGAAAAACTGGTTTGACATTTCAACCTAACATTGTAACTTATTGCACGTATAAGCTTTTATTAAAAACCAATCTGAAACCTACACTTAAAAGCATCATAAGCTGAAGTAATAGCATCATCTGTCTCCCTTTTGCTCATGAGAGGGACATTGGCTATAACTTCACCATTTGCTGGATTATGAACCTGCAACATAACGATGAAATTTCTCACGAATCAGCCCATTTCCAACGTATTTGTACTTTTAAAAGTTTCAATAATACCCTTAAACTTTAAAAACAAAACTAAAAAATACTTTTATAGTTAGTTTTGGATATAAACAGTTAATATTTTGTTTTACACTTTCAACCGTGTTTCAAAAATTCCCTTAAACTTTAAAATTTTCATTAATATCCTTAAACTTTTTTTAAAACTTCAAAAACACCCTTAAACTTTTTTAACAAAAGAAACATAATATCCTTGAACTTTTTATCGTTAGAATGTGTAAACCGTTTATCTTCTCGTGCCTAAGGTTGGTGGTTTCACGAAATGTCAAGAACAACCCTTGGTTGAGAAGGAACACAAGGCTAGTTGTTAAAGACATAAAAGAATGAGGCTGCAGCAAGACCAAGAGGAACGTCAAATGCAACGTCTGCTACATGAAGGTGGCTAAGTAAGGAGTTGGCTGAAGAGTGGTGCCAACAAGTGGATGGATTGCGTTAAAAGCTTCTACAATTTGTTTCAGTAAGGGATGTGATCACGATGAGGACCACGACGAGGACCATGTTTGGGGTGCACTCCTTCCAACTTAGGATGCTAGTTTTGCCATGGTTTTTCTGGTAAGTCCCAGGATGAGCCAAAGAGAAAGGCGAGGTAGGTCCTTAGTGAGATAGCCCACAACTATTGGGCAGTTTGTCGTGCTTATGCTGTGAGTCCCAAAAACTGGGAAAAGGTTCGTAAGTGGATGGCCTATAAGTAGTGTGTAATTTTTGTATTCATTTCTGAGGCATGTATATTTTTAACATGTCAGTTAGCAACAATTCGGCGTTCAAATCGCCATCGGGACAATGCAAAGGTTAAGTGGGAGAGAATGTCACATTCCACGAACGATTGTGCCATTGAGAAAGCATTGAGAACAATGACTAATTTAAAGGAGAAAGAATGTGACAGCCATACTATGAAAAACAGTAGGTTGTGACCCCTATATGCAGATAAATAAGGCGGCGACATAGAAGTGGCGCCCAACCGATCAAGTGAGAGTCAAGACCAGACAAGACAAGTATCATACATTTGGTTAAGAACCCGGTTTATCATTCAAAGAAAAAAACATATTAGAAGACGTTATCATTTCACTAGTAAGTCAGTGGAAGAAGGTGATATGTGTTTTGAGAAGATAGATGGTTCATCCAACAGACATGTTAACAAAATGTGTTGATGTTGGAAAATCGAGGTCGTGTAAATGTTGGGATCGATACCAGTTGTTAGCTCTGATACCAGTTGTTAGGATCGCACAACAACGCACACGCTCGATCTAGATGAACACAAAGAATGGGATAGAGAAAAGTGCAAGGAGAACTCTAGCTAAAAGAATTTGTTTTTATTGATGACTTTTCGTATGTACAGTAAGAGAGAGTACAGAGAATAGAAAGTACATTTTCAAAGCTCTACCGGACGGGATATATATATAGTTTAGTTTACTATATATAGTTTTACCAGATTTAGCCATCTACTATATATAGCTATTTACCATATATAGCTTTACCGGATATAGCTTTACCATATATAGCTTTACCAAATATAGTTTTACCGGATATAACCGTTGACCAAGCTATAAATAAGGAGCAGGCTCCATATCCTAACAATTCTCCCACTTGGAAACTGATCCAGTCATCCAAGAATTTCATTCTCATACGATCACTGCACCATACCAATTAAGGCTTTGCATAACCTTAATTTTCCAACATCAATACATTTTGTCAACATGTTTGCTGGATTCTTTGCACCCTCTATCTTCTTCAAACACATCACCATCCTTCACTAACCTGCAAGTGAAATGGTATCGTCTTCTGTGTTTCCTCTTGAAATGATAGACCGGGTTCCTTCGCCAACTGTTTGACACTCTGACTATCTCTGTAAAGAATATCTTCGTGCTACTTCTTGCCCATTCTTCCAGATAGTCAGTCATCCATATTGTCTTCTTTCCNATGTTATCTGTAGTGTCAGAAAATTTATTTTCCATGACGCATTGATTTTAATTTAATAATTTTTTCGTTGCCCTGGGTCATTGTGAATGGAGATACACTTCTGTGTACGTATGTCCGTGGCTGGATTTTTTGTGTATAGTACCCATTATTTTGAGCTTAGTCTCTATGAAGTGTCGTAATTTGTTTCTACTCATCTTCTATTCCCCGATGTATTAAATCTGTTTGACTATTGTAAATGTCTCGATGGTTGCCAAATTGGCCTCTCAGAGATCATATGAACACTTGGAATCATTTTGGTCGTTGCAACACCTTGTGTTTTTAGGTTCCTCGATTTAAGTTTTTTTTCCTTTCCTCTTTAAGTGTACGAACACTCACACAAGTATCTTGCAGTTGTTTTGAAAGTTGTCACAAAGTATTTTATTTTATTATTATTTGTGCATTAACATTTCTCACTTCTTGGTATATACTATGTATACTTTTCACTTCTGATGTTTAATTTCGTCTCGATAATACTAGGTGAGGAAGGGACACTCCAAAATCAACCAGCAAGACATTGTTGATGTTCTAGATAAACAGTTGCTTGAGGGTATGGGTGTACTTCTCACTGAAGAAGAGCAACAGAGAAGTGAAGAAAGAGTATAAATCCCTCTCTCTCTCTCTCTCTCTCTCTCTCTCTGTTACGTGTGTGTGCGTGCTCGTGCCCCCTGTGTGTGTGTGTGGGTGTGGGTNCAACTATTGCCACGTACTCAGCCTCAGTACAACGCATTTTTGAAGCCTAGACGTCTCATCATCCATGCTCGCTCCTACTTGGTTGTATCCTTCAACTGTAGGGCCTCATCAAAGGGTTGTGGTTCCCTTTCATCAGCAACAGATAGTGTAATGAAGGTACATACATATCTGGTACTCTAATTGTACAGGATGATCTTCTCAACACCAGTTCAGGTGTCACTTGCTCCACTGCTGATTCCTCCGCAACAACCTCAGGAGTTTGTTGAGTATCTGCTACAAGATCACTTGGTGATTTTCTCCGCAACTCAACCTCAACTCCCACTTGCTTTGTTGTCTTGGAACCTTGCTCCACATCTGGTTCCTCAGTAGTAGTCTCAAGAGTTTCTTGAGTATCTGCTAAACATCACTAGGTGAGTTTTCCTGTAACTCAAGCTCAACTCCCACTTGTTTCGTGGTCTTGGAACCTTGCTCCACATCTGGTTTCTCAGCAAGAGTCTCAGGAGTTTCATGAGTATCTGCTACAACATCACTATGTGAATCTTTCAACAACTCAACCTCAACTCCCACTTGCTTCACCTCTGGTTTCTCAGCAAGAGTCTCAGGAGTTTCATGAGTATCTGCTACAACATCACTATGTGAATCTTTCCGCAACTCAACCTCAACTCCCACTTGCTTCACCTCTGGTGTTTCAGCGACGCTTCCGGCCGACGCAACCCCCTCTGGAGTTTCAGCGACGCTTCNACCTTTCGGTCACTGCGCAATAGGTGTCTATTGAGAAAAGGAGACTGCTGGCTGTACATGAAGCTGGTCATATACTATTAGCTCACTTGTTCCCTCGTTTTGATTGGCACGCCTTTTCTCAGCTTTTACCAGGGGGCAAGGTATAATTTCTAGCGTAGAAATTGAATTTTGCTGCCACTTAGTTTAGTTGGAAAGATTATCTATTAACCCGGTTTTCTTTTAATATTAGGAAACAGCAATTACCGTTTTCTTCCCTCGAGAAGATATGGTCGACCAAGGTTACACCACCTTTGGTTACATGAAAATGCAAATGGTGGTAGCTCATGGAGGACGCTGTGCTGAACGTCTTATATTTGGTAATGACATAACCGACGGAGGAAAGGATGACCTAGAGAAAATAACGAAGGTCGGCCCTTAAACTTACAATTATTTTCTTACACTCGAGTTGTTTTAAACTACTTGTCATAAAAGGTAGGAAGCTGGGCTTTTTTGCTTTGGTGTGAAGTACTTACCTTAAAGTTATCTTCATTCAAATGGCAGGCAAGGAAATAATTTATAATTTTTTTTTTTTTATCTAAAACTAATCTTCTTCAATTACTTGTGTTTTCAGATTGCTCGGGAGATGGTAATCAGCCCTCAGAATTCAAGACTTGGGCTGGCTGCTTTAACCAAGAATATTGGGATGGCGGATCGACCCGATAATCCAGATGGAGAATTGATAAGATACAGGGTAATATTTTTCTCTAGTGATTAAAATGATGACAAAATAACCTCAATACTATTCACTTTTTATTATATATCCTCCTCAATTAACTGGCTTATCTTGCCCCGTTCTTGTGTCAGTGGGACGATCCACAAGTGATTCCGGCCAACATGACGCCCGAATTGTCTGAGCTGTTTTCCCGGGAGCTGACAAGGGTATTTCTAGTCGCTTCAAATCGAGTCTATATACATGACATGATTCACATCATTGCATCAATTTAACTTGCAGCTAGCATTAAAATAGTAGATGAAAATACAATATATTTGAATATCTTGCTAACATGCAAATATTTATAGCAAAAAGTGATTGGAAGGCTTATATCCATAACGTTTTAGGAATTTATATGATTGTTAGTACTGATAAGAGGGAGATTATACAGAGAAAAGTATGGGTTGGGTGCATACATAACCATGGATTTCCACCATGACCACCAAATCAGAAACAAACCTGTGTACTATGCAATATACGGTCGATGCAGCCAATACTCTGTCTAAAGCAACAGTATGCTTAACATTCTGTCTGAAGTAGAAGTATGTTACAAGTTCCTTGGTATAAAATTAACCCTCGACTCGTTAAATATAGATAGAAAAAGAAAACCCGTGATCGTTCTTCAGAGTTCATCATTTGATATTTGAAAGATCTATATTTTCTGAAACTATGAGTACTTTTTCTGCAGTATATTGAAGAGACAGAGGAATTGGCGATGAATGGTCTGAGGGAAAACAGGCACATACTTGAAATGCTTACTGAGGAACTGCTGGAAAAGTCTAGAATAACTGGATTGGTATTAATATCTACTTTGCTTGCTTCGATCTGTAGTGCTATTCGTTCCCCTAACCTCCCACGAAAGAAACGCACACCCTCTTGCAGGCACACACGTGTACCGATATGTATAAATCCAGATTAATGGACCCCTGATTACTAAAGATGATTAGATGAAAAGGCTACTAGTTTCAATTAAACTGTGGAGCTAAATACAAAAAGTTTAGTTTAATCATTATTGTTTAGTGTTAGTACCAAACTGGGAGCTTTTATTTTCATCTGTTCTTCACTTTTTGAACTGAAACCATTTTTATCTGATTGAGTTTTCATGGTATCACAAGTTGGATATACCTTATCATCCCTTTGTTCGCTCCTTCTTGTAGGAAGTTGAAGAGAAAATGAAGGGTCTGTCACCAGCCATGTTCGAGGACTTCATCAAGCCATTCCAAATAGACTTGGATGCGGTAAGTCTTCCTGTTTCTATTAACTAAATGTGCAGAGAGGCTACTTTTCCTTCATTTATATGAGATCCCACGTCAATTGGGGAGAAGAACGAAACATTTTTTATAAGGGTGTGAAAATATCTCTAACAAATACGTTTTAAAACCTTGAGGGAAAGCCCAAAGAGAACAATATCTGTTAGCGGTGGGTTTAGGCGGTTACAAATAGTATTAGAGCTCAGACACTGGATTGTGTGCTAGTGAGGATGCTCGGTACCAAAGGGGGGTGGATTATGAGATCCCACGTCGATTGTTGAGAGGAACGAGTGTCAGTGAGGACGCTGGGCCCCAAAGAGGGTGGACTGTGAGATCTCACGTCGGTTGGAGAGAACGAAACATGTTTTATAAGGGTGTTTCTCCCTAGCAGGCGCGTTTTAAAACCGAGAGGAGAAGCCCAGAAAGGAAAGCTAAAAAATGACAATATTTACTAGCAGTGAGCTTGACTATTACAATTTATCACCGGTTTCGATCAATTCACACTCTAATTATCTCTCTGGTATGAGATTTAGGGCACCATCAAAGCAAAAGAATAAGAAACAATAGAAAAAGCAAAAACATACTGATATTCATTTCTGTTGTGGTCTTTTTCCCAAGTCCTCTGCTTTCCCTTTATACTCACTTTCATTTGGGTATACATTTTTGCAAACAAAATCAAGAAGTGATGCTAAACATAAGGGTTAAGTAAATTTTGAGTTGGATATTTGTGTAGGAGGGAGCACTGCCTCATAAGGATAAACTGCGATACCAACCTCTAGACATATACCCCGCACCGCTGCACAGATGTTGAACGGGCTCACTGGTTTGACGATGCTGGATGCAATCACGAGCCAAGGAGGAGCTACGCAGAGGCCTCCGGTTTATTCATTCTAAAATAACTGGTTGGTGCATCGCCCTCGCCCTCGCCCTCGCCCTCACCTTTGCCCCCACCCTCGGCGCAATAAGACCGAATCAATTGTGAAGCTCCTCGAGTATTGTTGGCTGAAGCATCAATGGCTTAGCTACTTTGTGTTGTATTGTTTATACATTTAACTGTTCTAACGTATAAGATGCCTGCCGTTAGAGCAATCAACATGTTTCATGAAATATAATCTCTGCCATCTTGATGGGTGCCATTTATGGAATTGTTCAATTGATAAGCTTGGTTGAGTTTAAAACTCTTTCAAGAATTCATATCTGAAGTTGTATAAATTTATGGACAACTTAATCTGTTCTTACTTCACTGCTGCTTTGGTCTCAAGTTGGTCTAATTTGTAAATAAATAATGGGCTAAATTGAAAATTTGGATTTCTTTTATTTATAATCTTGCCATAATTTCATTCTTAATTTTAGTTTTGGGTCTTAAAATATTAAAACATCAATATTATTTTAGACTTCACAAATGGATGTTAAAATATTGGCTAAATAAATGCTTTAATTTAAAATGTTTATTTTTTTTATTTTATATATATATATATGTATGTATGTATGTATGTATATTTTTTAAATTTAGTTTGGATTTATCCCAGATTTAGATACTTGTTATAATTTTAACCTAAACTTGAAAAGTGTGACAATTTTAACTATTTGATCAGTTTCATGTGAATGAATTATAAAATATATTTACGATACAAAATTTCAAAGAAAAATGACATGAGAGTCTTTTTTTTTTTTTTTTTTTGAAATTTGTTAATTTTGAAAATTTTATTTAATGATTAATTTGTGCATTGTTTCAAATTTAATCTCGGGTAAAATTTAATTTAACTGAAATTAGTCGTTTTTAGAGATTCTTTTATATATATATATATATATTATAGATATATATATATATATATATATATATATATATTGTTAAAATTAAGGCAAATTAGCAAAACTTGAATATTTATTGGATTAAAATTACAATATTGATTAAAGTTAGAGTTATATATATATATATTTATTTATTTATTGTTAAAATTAATAGGCAAATTAACAAAACTTGAATATTTATTGGATTAAAATTACAATATTGATTAAATTTAGAGTTATATATATATATATGAATATTTATTGGATTAAAATTATAATATTGATTAAATTTAGAGTTTAATCCAATGAAATTAAAAACATTAGGATGCAAATTAATAGAATTTGAGAATCTTAGGAGTAATAATTAAAAAAATTCCAAACTTTTATCAAAAAGAAAAAATAAAAATAAAAATATAGAATAAAAATTTAAAATTCGAACCTTGGAACGACTTTGTGGCGAGAGCGATAGACTGCGCCCTAGTTCAACAATTCCGTTTTACTGGTCGCCAACAAGCCTTCCACTGTCGAGAAAAGAGATAAATTGGCCGTGAATCCATCAAATTTTTGCTGCGATTGTTCAAACCTGGAAACCCTTTGAATTGTTGTTCATCATCTCTGATTTCATGGATCAAGAAGTAACAGTCGACGAGAATTTCCCTCTTTTTTCAAAATCCCATCGGAAAACCCATAAACCTTCACAAAAAAACCCCACCGCCGCCGCTGTTTCCGCCGCCGTCGATAATACCGCCGAGAAGGCGCCTATTCAGATTGAGAAATCCACAGAACTCACCACTAAATCCACGAACGTTACATTTGCCGACCTCGGCTTATCGGAATGGATCGTCCAGACCTGCAAGGAATTGGCTATGAAGAAGCCAACGGCGGTTCAAACCCACTGCATCCCGAAGATTCTGGCTGGCCTCGACGTACTAGGTCTTGCTCAAACTGGAAGCGGGAAGACTGCGGCGTTTGCCTTGCCGATTCTTCAACAGCTTTCGGAAACCCCTTTCGGCGTCTTTGCGTTGGTCGTCACTCCCACAAGGGAATTGGCTTATCAATTGGCCGAGCAGTTTAGGGCACTCGGTTCCTCCTTGAATTTGCGGTGCTCTGTGGTTGTCGGAGGCATGGATATGTTGAACCAGACGCAGAGTTTGCTGAAGAGACCTCACATTGTAATTGCAACGCCGGGGAGGGTTAAGGTATTGCTGGAGGAGAATCCTGATATCCCTGCCGTCTTCTCCAAGACTAAGGTTCGTTGCTTGTATTGTTCTTATTGTTCATGTTCTCATAGCTTTCAAGAACATGAAATTCTCAGGCAAATATATACCAATCTGGTTGTGTTCTTGATATCTTATTGATCTTTTTATACACCAGTTCCTAGTTTTGGATGAAGCTGATAGAGTATTGGATGTTGGATTTGAAGAGGAATTGAAAGTTATCTTCAAATGCTTGCCACGAAATCGTCAAACTCTATTGTTCTCTGCAACAATGACAAAGGATCTTGAAACACTCCTTGAGCTTTCTGCAAACAAAGCATACTTTTATGAGGCTTATGAAGGGTTCAAGACAGTTGATATGCTTAAGCAGCAATATGTATTCATACCAAAGAATGTGAAGGATGTTTATCTACTCCACATTATGTCTAAAATGAAAGACATGGGCGTTCGATCAGCAATCATATTTGTGCACACTTGCAAGTATGTTTTTTGGGCTTTCACCTCCCATTGTTCCTTGTTTCTCTCATTGCTTACTCTTTCTTAAACTATATGCAGAAGCTGTCACCATTTAGGTTTGTTACTCGGAGAACTTGATCAAGATGTGGTGGCGTTGCATTCATTCAAGTCACAGTCTGAGAGGCTTGCTGCGCTTTATCGATTCAAATCGGGACAAGCTCCTGTTTTGCTTGCAACCGATGTAGCTAGTCGGGGTTTGGACATTCCGACGGTTGATCTTGTTATAAATTACGATATTCCAAGGTGGTAATTGATTTCATGTGGTTAAGTAGAAATGTTTCTAGAATGCTGGTGATGTTAATATAACAACATTATGACTCAGGTTTCCAAGAGATTATGTTCACCGAGTGGGACGTACTGCAAGAGCAGGTCGACATGGATTGGCTGTGAGCTTTATTACCCAGGTGAGTGTTACTTAAGTGATTGATAACTTTTTAACTCGATTTGTTTCTTGGACGCGAACTCCGCATCGAATGTCAAGGAATTTCTCTATAAACTTGTTTTTTTTATATATATGGAGTGAATAGTAAGTCTGCTTAAGCTTGTATTATATTCATAACATAGTAGTTGTTCTTGCTATTGCTTCTATATTCAACCTTCTCCAATTCACAAGGGCTATTCTTAAAGAAAGTTGTGATGGTAAATGCTGATTCGTAACTACAATTTCATAATCTCGATGGTATATACATGTAGGAAAGTAGTATATTGCTAATGTTTTTGTTTTCGTCGCTCCAAGCAAGTGTTTTTTTCGTTGGATTTTCTTGTTTTTCTTACCTTCGATGAATGTCGATCTCGTATACAGAATGATGTGGAGCTTATTCATGAAATAGAGGCCAATCTAGGAAAGAAATTGGAGATTTTCGAATGCAAGGAGAATGAGGTGCTTGAGAATGTTACAAAGGTATGCTTTGGCCTTTTCCCCCCTAATATGATTGATTTTTTCAGTGTATTATATGCTGTTTGCCAATTGAACTTCACAACTCATCTCATCTGAGTGGTTAACTTCTGAATGCGGACGTTTTCCTTTAAAAAGTGGAAATAAAACATGTAGACTTCACAAGTCGAGTTCATGCTACTGAGGAAAAACGAGATTCCTGCACTCTAATTAGTACATCATGGAGCTTCCTAGTGAATTGCTTTGCTATAGTCACTCTGTGTATGAAGACATCTGTTCTTGGGGAAATCACTCTAGAGTTATTGTACGGCCCAAGCCCACCGTCAGTAGTTATTGTCCTCTTTGGGCTGTCCCTTTTGGGCTTCCCCTCAAGGTTTTTAAAATGCCTCTACTAGGGAGAGGTTTCCATACCCTTATAAAGAATGCTTCATTCTCCTCCCCAATCGATGTGGGATCTCACCGGCACAGTTTTTCTAGTGTTATGACTTATGGGAACAATTATTTGCTGTAATAAGATCAGCCTAGATACTTGTTTCAGTCTAGAGCTTATGAGTTTTCTTATCTCTTCAGTCGTATCAGTCATTTTTCAGCTCAACTACCAGTAAATTTAGACCAAACACTAGAGATACCGCCATGTCGATATGATGGGACACTGTTTCAGTAGCTCATAGGCTCCAGAGATACCGAACACTAGAGATACGAAACACTAAATGTATGCATGAAATGACTATATTACTTAAAAAATTACTAATCTTCTCAACATTGGGGATTTTAGCATTTCTTGTCTGCATACCAGAAGTGAATTTGAGCGAGATTAACTCGTGTTTGCAACGTTTGTACACAGGTATACAAGGCAAGACGTGTGGCAGCAATGAAGATGGTGGATGATGGATTTGAGGAGAAAGTGAAAGAACGAAAGAAACAGAAATTTAAAATATTGGCAGAGAAAGGATTGTTAAAGAAAAGGAGCAGAAAGAGAAGAAGAGAAAAAGCTTCCAAGGAGTTGGGAGCAGTATGAGAAAATCTGTACCACATCAAAATTTTGATATTTCACTAACTCAATACATCTGTGATTATTATTATTGCTTTTGGGTCTTTAGCAGATTTTTTTTTTTTTTTTTTTTTTTTTTTTTTTTTACAACGTAGTTCATGTTTGTTTCTTTTTTCTCTTTTAGAAGGTGAGCATATTTCTAATGTAATACCCAATATCGTCTTGGTCGAAATGTTTTTACTGAAGTCACAACGACCAATTCAATTGATCGAAGCTCGTTTGCTATATTATTTTGTATTTAAATGCTATTTTAGCCTTTTATATTTTTCAATTTTTGGTCAATTAGATCCTTGTACTTTTAAATATGTTCATTTTTATACAAACTGGTGACGTTTTAATAACATGTAACGGCTATCTTTCAAAAAAGATATAAAAAAAAAACAAATAAGAGAATCAAAATAGAGAGTGCAAAATCAAAGTAAAATGTGTTTAGAAAATATTAAGTTCCAACTTCTAATGGCAGCAAAGAAGAACCTATAGAGGAATCTCCACGAACTATCTCGAAAACCGTAAAGAAAGAAAGCGAAGCAGGAGGAAAATATAATAAAATTGAGCAAATAGTTGTCGTCTTCGCACACTGAAACCATATCCAAGGCAAAAGAGCAAACAAGAAAACTTCGAATGAGTCATAATTTATATTGGTATTAAAAACACGTTTTTAACTTGATAGAAAATGTAAAAATTTCCCATATCATTGTCAAAATCACACATTGAAGTAGCAAAAAATGAAGTGAAAAAGAGAGTTTTATAATACCTGAAGTGAGTAGATGGAT